CTTAACGTAAAATTTTAATAAAAAATAAATAAAATAGTGTAAGATCTCAAAAATAGAAATCTTAATAAACCAAATCTGATGAAATTGTTAGTATATCATTTTATTCATCTACTAAATATTACTATAGAGAAAAAAAATATCTAAATATCTATCAAAAATACCTATTCAAGGCGGCTGTTCGACTTTGACTGGGGGAACTCGGTCATTCGGACCCCACCTCCCCTCCCCTCCCCGCTTATCGAGAGTGGTTTCGTTCGGGGGAAATTGGCCTAGTTTTTCCCGTCTCGCCGAGCGAGAAAGTAGGTGAATTTTCCTGGCACCCGTCCAGCTAAGATTCGCCATCGGGCGAAGAGTCACCGCTAGAATCTTTTGCGGTGGCGGCGGCTCATTGTCGCGACGGACACCCCCCCCCCCCCCCCCCCCCNCTGTGCCCCTAAGTGCCCCCGAAAATGAACTCGAAAACATAGAGGAGCTAATAAAAGGAGTCGCGGCACAGTTAGAGCTGTTGTCCCTGCGACTAATCCTTGACTCAAGCTGGGAAAGAAGATTTTGGGCGTCCGGGGACTAATCTAACTTGTTCAGCCGGATGGGATTTAGAATCTAAGATCGGAACTTCCTCCTCGGCTGCGTCTGGCTGCTTACTCTGTCGTCCTATGGAAAAACGCCGTGTGAGCCTTAGACGTTGCCAAATCTCTCCTAATAAAATCCTCATTTTTTAAGGAAGTAATAGTATATTTATCCTTGAAATTTTCAGATGTTTTAGATTTAAATGCGAACAAAATTGTCTGTAAGAGTGACGGAAAATCATTCAGAATTTCCTCAGTAAATTCGGTCTTTACTGAAGGAAATGTGGCAGCGTCTGACGGCATTCTGGCGTTTTTCCCTAGCATGGTAGTACTGTTAGGGCAAGGGCCTAGGCTATGGGAGACCAAGGGGAATTTTCCCTCTTTTGACTGAATTCTTCCTTTTCCAAAAATCTTTGATAGAAAATCACACACGCCTACATACACAGCATTAAAGAAGAACTACACACACTTAGAAGAACTAATGGGAATTTTCACGGGATCTCCTCCAATGATTCCCGAGAACCTTCCCGTTCTCGGCACACAGTGGATCGAGTCTAAGCGGGAGGTTGGACAGACTTTAAACATTTTAAAAGCGTATATCTTCGCATCATCATGAAATGTTGATGTTTTAAGAGTGGTCTGTTGGTTTTCTAATCAAACTTTCTCCTGAAAACACCCCTTAAATTTAAAATTTGACGAAATGAACATCGGAGTCTGTAATTTTAGTCCAATAAGACATGCCCAAACTCCTCTACTCACTCGACCCACTGTGCGGCACTTTCCCCGGAAAGTATGACCCTTAATCTAGGTGCAGGGTGATCAATTCTCGAAAAGTCAGGCTGATCTGAAAATGTTTGTCAGTGTCACTCAATTTTGAAAAGTCAGAAAAGACAGGGACTTTTTCGATCATCTTACAATTTTCTTGTCTTGTTGAAATTTTTGCTCTTTTGTTTTGTTTTGCAGTCCGTATACTGCTTATATTGTGAACGCTCACATTTTGTAAGATTTTTGTCGCGTGGATCGCATTTTCATGTCCAAAATCCTTGAAAAGACAAGAGGATGTTAGGAAGTATTTCACACAGCGGTTCATCTCTGAATTTCCCTTCCCGTATATTGGTCATCCCTGCAGACAACTTTTAGGCCTTGTCTCCACGGAACGTTTTCATGGGATTTGTCCTAAGTTCGAATCGCAGGAATGAAACTTCTGGGATTTTTCCCAGTTACCGTCTCCATGGGACGGGGCTTATACAGTCCTGCGACTAGTTTGCGCGGGAAGATAAAGTAGTTAAAGTCGAGTATTTAACCGGGATTATAATAATAAATGCACTCAATTGACAATTAAACACATTATTTTAACCAAACAAACATTAACAATGTAGTAATGAATAAAATATCGCACAATTCGTTTTCACTTCTTCTTCTCTCAGTGGGTCCTAGGGGTACAAGTACCATACTTGGTACTGGGAAAAATATTGATTAACTCAATATTTTTCCCAACTTGGTAAGTAGGATTTTTCCCTGGGACAAATCTCGTGAAACGGCTCGTGGATACAACTTTTATGGGATTGTCCGTTTTATTTTAAAATTTGACTTTAGGTATAACTGCATCGCGCCAATAGGTTCCAGGATCCACCTTGATTCCTTATTAGATTCCCGAGGCTTTTCTCTAAGTTTCCAGACAATGTTGGCTCAGTTGCGAGTATCCTAAAACTATCGGAGGCCGGGAAAAACCTGGTATTGACAGGAGGGCCTTCTCCAGTGTATCAAGGTATTTCCCTCGGGACCAGAAAACACGAGGAAATTCAACCGATTCGATTTCGGGTTCGGGTTTTACGATACATGTTGCACGGAGGAGTGCGATCCGTCTCATTAATGGATATGTATCCTAAAGCGATGCGGTGAATCGACGTTTTATGACCCGAAACCCGAAGCGATTTCTCTCTTGTAGGCGTTGAAACGTCTCGGGGCTCTTAAATGTCAACTGCGACCCAACCTCGCGCGCTCTGATTACGGTTCATGCCGCTCGATGTCCCCGTGTGCCCTTTATACGTTGATTTGATTATATTTTTTTCGTACGTTTCCATGGTGGAATCAGAATAAAACACGCACCTCTGAAATACCTGTGGCTTCGGCACCGTTAGGTACATTATTTTAGAAAAAGCCAAGTTTTAGTCTCTGCATCAGTCATTTGGTGAAGGTCCATGCCACAAATCATCTTTCCAACACTGGATAAAAAAGTCGCTTGGATCGCTAGCAAATTCCTCACACATGCAACATCTCCATTACTTGGGCATCGCTCCTCCTCCTCTTGTAAAAGATCGAATATGATAGGAGATTTGCAACGTCGCGGATTGTGATAGTGATTTCCAAGTTTGAGTAGTCGACTCTTTCACTCGCTGATTTTCGACTGTAATCCCATTCAGCTCGATTAAATCTCAATAGCGACCCACGGATTCTGTGACCGACACGACGGTGAATTATTTCACCGTCAGAGAGGTTTCACTCGATGTTTCCAGGACCTAATATAAGTCCTCTTATCCCCCTGCAGGCGAGGAAGCTTTTGGTGTCGTTGGAGGGATTCCAAAATTTCCGTTAACGTAATTAAAGTCCCCAGAGGAGAGTTAACTTGAGAAATTGGCCAAGTTGCCCCGGCCGGTTATGCAATTTTTTCCCTGTTTGGCGCGGGGCCAATTACTGTTGAATATAGCGAGCCGTGTTTTGTCGCTGATTCTAATTATCCCCTGTGGTCCCCCTAAATTTTCTTTTGTAGCGTGTTAACTCTACAAACAATGCATTCAATTTAGGTACCGTTTCTCGAAACTTAGTTGCATTTTTTATCACTGTACTGCGGTGGGGAGCAGTGGCGTGGCTTGAATTACGATCTATCGATTATTATGCCATTTAAACCTATGGTAAAGAATCGATTATTAAGGTGTTCGCTGCAAACACCCTATTTATCGATCCTTTTCCATGGGTTTAAATGGCAGATCATTCGATATACCGCAAAGCACGCCACGCCGCTGGTGGGGAGGATCTCCGTCGTTGACGAAGATCTTCGCAAAAAAGTAGTCGTTAATACAATATCTTTATGCGATTTCAACGTAAATTAGAGAATTAGTGTCTCTTGTTTTACGGGGTTCGTAATACCTCGAACATTTTTTGATTTTTTTAATCATTTTTTTTTCGGGTTGTTTGATCAAAGATTATGTTCAATTTTCAAAACCAGACCCCAGGAATTTCGGGAACTTCTCAAAAACCTGGCTTGAAGCATTGGCGATTCTCGAAGAATGGCAACACTGTTTGCTTCCATTTAAATCCATTATGAATATCGATTTTATGTGAAGCAAGCTACCTCTCTTAGAAACAATTGCTTTGCATTTAAATGGAGGAAGAACAATGTTGCCAATTTTCAAGAGTCGCCATTGCTTCAAGCCCCTCAATTATCGGAAGTTTTTGGAAAGTCCGAGAAATTCCTTGAAGCCACCGAAAAAAAAACTCCGGCTGTGGAAGCCGTACTCACGGGCCATATAGACATACCGTCCGCGTTGCGGGTTCAGCGGGGTGATTATTGAAATTGATAGACAAAGCAATAGACAAAGAAGACAAAACGGATATTGAGGGATCCTATTGGTGGAAGCGGGTGGTGGCAATGGACATAGGAGGTAGGTAATGGACTAACTAACGGCAACCCACCAAAGACCTGACAGTTAGTCCATCATTTTCTACCTTAGTCTGTAAGAACCAACCATGTCAACCAATAGGATCGCTCTATACTCCCTATGTCTTCTTTGTCTATAGCTTTGTCTATCAGTTTCAATAATCGGCCCGCAGGAGCCGAAAGCTCCGGGCGTGGCACCCGGAGCAGTCGAAGTTACGGCTCCAGCACCCGGAACTTTCGGTCTCTGAGCCCGGAACGGACGGTATCGACGGTGTAAGTCGGCAATCACATAACTCGGTTTGCGACATCGCAGACTTCCTGTCATACTTCATTTTTTGAACGGAAAACTATTCAACGGCAATTCCTTAAAACTGCCGTGATTTTTCTTCCATTTGCGAAGAAAATTCTGCAAAAATTTCAAGGAATGATGTCATTTTGTTCTCCTTTAAAAGAATAACAGAGACGGAGATTTTCAGACACCGCAGACGAGATATGTGATTGCGGAATTCCGCCGTCGATTTGTCTATATAGCCCGTAACTTTTTTTTCAGTGTCTAGTTTTGAAAATTAGTTATAATCACCTTGATCAATGATCCCGAAAAAATACAACCGTAAGTCGTCCAGCTTTCTGTCGCCGAGAACGAAAAAAAGTAATCTCATAATTTGTCTCGGTGCAAGAAGCGAGCGTTTATTGTCCTCATGGAGCTTGTTTTATTTGCCTCCTCCGCGCTGTGTCCTATATTCCGGGCGTAAGCAAAGTTTTCTTTTTGTTGGCAGAGTATATTGGGAGAATTCAACAAGGAGCAGGAGTCCTTCATCAAAGAGAAGGAGGGCAAAGGCAGCGACGGAGCAGCCGTTCCTCCCTGGGTCGGGTGCCCCAACGAAGAGAATCTCAAACAGGAGTGTCTGTCCCTATCCACGGTAAGCTTTTGTTCAACTTCTTCTCATCCCTTCATTAGCCTCCTATCCTTTCTCTCTCTCGGCCCTTAGTGTTTTTCCTTTTTCCCCTACCTCTCACTTCGGTGACTTAGGATGACTTTTCAGGGTGCCTAAGGAGGATAGACTGCACTGCCGTGCTAAGGAAAAACGCCGTATGAGCCTTCAGGCGTTGCCAAATTTCATGTAGTAAATTACGAATTTTCGGGAAAATTTGTGAATATTTTTCCTCCAACTTTTCAGATAATTTTGTTCACAATTTTACCTAAAGTTCCTGAGAGTTTTAAGGAAAAATATCCACAGCTTTCTTCAAAAATAAACATTTTATCGATGGAAATTTGGCAACTCTTGAATGTTCATACGGCGTACTTCCTTAGCACGGGCAGTGCAGCGGGCTGATTATTGAAATTTATAGACCAAGATACACATTTTTACGAAGCAGCCGCGATATTGGTGGCAGGAGAAAAACAAGGGGAGAAACTGGAAACAAGGCTAAAATACAACAAGAAAAACCCCGAGACGTTCCGACTCAAAACGGATTCATTTTCGGTCGAAAAATAAAGTAATCTCGATTATTTTATTAATGAAACTCGAGGTCTTCAAATTTGTTTTTAAGTGATTCTCTCTGATTTGAAGAATGAAAAAAAATCCTGGAAGAAGGGATAAGAATGATAACAATTATTAATTTAAATGAAATATCTTTAAGCATAAAAATAAGAAAAGAAATTGCTAACCAAAAACTAAAAAAAATCTTTCTTTTCATTCTATTTATAATTCTGGGAAACAAACTATCATTCAGGCTCGGACTGGCCATAAGGCCAATCTGCCATTGGCAGATACGCCCCCTCTCCGCGCCGAAAACGCGCCCCTCTTACAGATAGCAAAATACGAAGAAAAAAAATTACGACCGAGAATATGTGAGAAAAATTTCTTTAATGAACGGAAGAGGAGAGAGTTAGGAGTAAAGAAAGGTGCTTTAACACATGATAGTGGTGAACAGAGGTCCAAGAACTACTTTCTGAAGCGTGAACAATTTTCTGTGAAATTTTCACCTTCTTCTTGACATACAGGTGCTTTATCATCCCCCTCCTTCATTCGCTATGTGTAACTCCCTTAGAAGCGATGGTCGGTTTGATTTTTAGACATACGCATCCTTTATAGACCTCTTAAGAGACCTTTAAACATATTTCCTCCTTTTCAAATGAATATTGATTTGGACATACCATAGCATAGCTCGAATAAACTTAACCTTAATTTATCTCGAAATTCGAAAGTAAGAGACATCTAAAATGTAAACGCGATACAACTATTCGCGCAAGATGGATGTCCACATTGCATATGAAAAATGTAAGACGCGATGCCGTGAGTCGTGAACTCGCAATGCTCTGCTCTAGTTTGAAGCAACATTACAAATAAGACAAACGCAAACAAACACAATATGGTAATAAAGCGAGGGAAAGGATGCGCGTTAACGACGGCGCAGAGATACAACTATTCGTACTTGATGGACGTCCATGCTGTATCTGAAAAATTGAAGGCGCGATGACGCGAACCGTGAGCTCTCAATGCTTTGCTTTATGCTGTCAATGAAGCGTCGCTCTGATTCGGAAGAAAAATTTAAAAAAGGCCTGAAGACATCTCTCCTATCTTCGGCTGTACTACTCGCGTAGTGCTTTAAGCACCATTACGAATAATACAAACGGAAACAAACACAATATGGAAAAAGAGGGAGGGAAAGGATGCGCGCATCCTTTCCCTCGTCGTAAACACGTGTGTTTACGACGGCGCAGAGATACAACTATTCGTACTTGATGGACGTCCGTGCTGCATCTGAAAAATTGAAGGCGCGATGACGCGAACCGTGAGCTCTCAATGCTATGTGCTTTATTTTCAATTTTGCAATTTTTACTCCGTGCGATCAATAAACTTTGAACCTGAAAATAGCGTAAACTTGTGCTGATTTGCCAAAATTTTTTGAACCTCTCTCCACGTAGGGAATGCCCTACCAGGAAATATCACATTACGCCCCTTTAACCAGCCAAGGGTCTACGCCCTCAGATGCGAGCCAGTCCGACCCTATCATGATTGATAGACTTAAATGAAAATGTGATTCATTTATCAATTACAGAAAAACTAACTCCGGTAATTATAATTTTAACTATAATTATTATAGTTGAAACTGATATATAATCTAAAATAGATAAGACTAACTCCAAAATTAAACAAATAATAAGATATTCCTAAAGAATTTAAAACCATACAACCATACGGAGGCTCCCCATGGAAACAAGCAATCCAAGAAACGACTATAGATAGTATTCGATAGTGGTTCGATGTATAGTTTGGTTCAAAACAATTGAACATAACTTCAAACTAAAATTTTAGGATGTAATTTGGAAAAGCTGAAAATAAGAGAATTCCTAAACAATTTCACTTTTCATCGCCATTCTGTCCCGTAAGAATAAAAAATGTATCACAAGAAACCCGTTCCCTCAGATTACTCAATTGGCTTTTGAAGCTATGTTTACTTATCGAAGCAATCGATATCGATACAATCTCACCTGTTTGACGTATCGAATACGATCTATTAAGGTCAACGAGATTAAGGTTTATCTACAGCTCCGTGAAGTAAGAAATTTCTCCGCGCAGGGCGGGGCGCCACCGCTGTGTTTTGATTTTTTAGTCCACGCTGTTTGAGTCCGTACAGCTCCACGTGAGTCATTGAGCTTTTATGAAAGTTAAAGGAATTTCTGTTTAAATCGAAGAGTCATAAGTTCTAGCCATAACATTCTTCTTCCTATTGACACTACAAACGACGTGAAAAGTAATTTCTGAAGCTCTGAAACTTGATCCCAGAAAAAAGTAGGGTTTAGCACAATGACCTTGATGCAACCAATCGTGATTGATCGCTCTCAGCAGTTGCAGATATCTCTCTCCCACCGTGAGCTGTCTCTCTCGCACTTACAGGTATCCCGTAAGAGAAACTGGGATCAAGTTATAGCTTTCATTATTAAACTTTCAAAGCTCGCGTTTGTTTCTAAGGATTCCAGACGTATGCTGCTAGAACTTATGAGAATTTAAAATATCTGTTGTGATATATTTAAATAATCACTGATTTCGGAGTCGGATTTTAGCAGCGCGACGTGGTGGATTTTTTCGGAACTACCGCTGAAGACTCACCTTAATACTACCTCAAGAGCATAAGCTTTATGATTGCAGCTGTCTTGTGTGTTGTCAAGACTGTGCTTTCCTCGGAGATGAAATGCATGAGAAAATTGTTGGTTTGCGATAGCGAATTTACAGAATAGCAAGAATAGGAGTTGCGAGTTATTCGCCCTCGAAAATCGAAGTGGAGCGTTGAGGTTTTTGTTAGCAGTTTGTCATCGGTCCAACGTCTAATCGGGGATGAAAACACGGTCCTAAACCCAACAAAGCGGGACGGTAAACAGAGATTAATCGCTCTTCAACGGCCGGCTTAAGTTGCTCCTGAAGAAGGCCCAACCTCAAAACTCCCGTGCTGAGAAAAAACGCCGTATGAACCTTCAGGCTTTGCCAAATTTCCTTGGATAAAACACAAATTCCCTGGTAAATTTATGAATATTTTCCTTCTAATTCTTCAGATAATTTTGATCGCAATTTCTACTGAAGTTCCTGAAAATGTTGAGGAAATATATTCATAACTTACCTCAACAATAAACATTTTATCGAAGGAAATTAGGCAACTCTCGAGTGTTCATACGGCGTTCCTCCCTAGCGCGGCAAAAAAGCGGCGCGGTGCTTTTCCGATGCCCATCATGTTGACCCAGCGAAAGCCGATACTTTCATCAGCCCCTCGACGTGTATTCGACAATCGCCGAAGTCAATGTGAAGAAGAGCGACCGAATTCGAGGAAAGGGTTCTTGCACCGTAATCTCAAGTAGCATTTTTCAACGGAAAAATCGGGATAAATTGCAATTTTATCGGCGATAAAATAGCTAGGATCATCAACTTCTGAGCGGAAAAAAAAATCGCGATTTTATCGCCCGGCAATTTATCGCGCGATATTTTCGAAATAAAAATCGCGATAAATGGCGATTTAATCTCGATTTTATAGACGAAAATTGATCGCGACTTTATCGAACCAAAAATTGCGATGTATAGCGATTTAATCGTCATATATCGCAATTTTTCATGCGATAATATCTCAATATATTGCCACCGATATAATCGCGATAACCAACGATAAAATCGCTATTTATCGCGATCACTGCTACTTGGGATACGCATTTTCTGGGTCGTATTCACTCTTTTTCATAGAGAGGTTCCACACGGTTTACAAATTGTAATTGATGGAGAAATTGTAGAATAAATGTTTTTACTATCCTCAAAAAAGATTCAACAGTATAAGTAACTGCGGAAATAGATTCTTGCAAGGGTTTGCAATGATCTGCCACCGCAAACATTTTAAATATTTAATGAGACATTTTATGAGTGAGAACGAAAACACACCAACTCGAAAAAATGAAAATAATCAAGACACACAAAACTGCTTGGAGGGTGAAGAAGTTAGTCTATGAAAAAAATTGTTGGTGCAGAAGGGCAAGCACTTAAGGACACTTTAAAGGTAGGTATAAGCTGGAACAGATGCGCTAACTTCAATGACCTTCACGAAAATTGACTGCCTTAAATGAAAATTGAGCATTTTTAAGTTGCGGAGTTGGTGTGTTTTCGTTCTCATTGATTCAATTGTGATACTGTGAGGCAGATACGGACCTACCTATACCATGAAATTTGCAAAGCTGCAATATTTTTTCTTCAGTTTTTATTTCTGTTTTTGGTGACGAATCCCCTGAACGCCCTTGCAAGGCTTTATTTCCGAATCGATTTTGTTGAATTTTAAGGTAAATTAGTAAATAAGTATCCTTCCTCTTTTGACAGCCTGCTTAAATTTCCCTTATTTGCCACGCAAACCGTATGGAACTTTCGTCAGGAATTTGAATTGCGATACAATATTAGCTGATGCAATTATTTTAACACTGGTGTAGTTGTAGTGGTATCTCTCAAACTTGAAGGCGCTTTCAGTTCGTCGCTCGGCCCCATGAACTGTTAAGTCTTAGGTGCAGGCACCTTCTCCATAATTCTCTTTTATTTATACCATCCGTCTCTCTCTTTCTCTCTCTCTCTCTTCGACTTTTTCATTTTTTTCACTTTTTTTTCTTGATTCTGGGAAACCGGGAACTCAACCTAGCTTTTAAGTTACTCTCTTGCTTGCATTTTTTGTGAAATGTGTTTCTTTCAGTCCTTTATAAAAACTGAAAACTATTATTTGGAATTGAAAATTTTGTCCTCCCATTATCCACATAACGTAGTAACGTTCATAATTCTGTAATGCATTGTTGATAATTTAAATATCTAACTTTATTGTGGCAAATCCACGATCTTGATGTTTTGGTTTCCACCTACTTCCACCTTAATTGATATTAACTGTTTGTTCTTGGTTTATTTTGGCAAATTATGTGAGTTTTAAGGGTGTTAAAATGTCCTCCCAACTTTACGTGGAACTGTGTCAAGAAAGCTTCCAAATTTTCCTAATTTTCCCTCAAAAAAAGAGGGAAGAAAAACCACTGTAGTTTTCTTATTTTTCGGGGTGCTTTTTTAATTTTCCGCAAAATCTTAATTCTGTGCCATAGGACTCTCTGTACACCAGGCAAGTCTTTAGATCTCAAATATCTTTTCTGAATTTCTCATTTTTTTATTATTTTTGCTGCATAAATAAAAACCAGGCTAAGACTAAAACCAATAAATATATAATTGCATTATAATCGTTGCATATTTACTAATCTACCCTTATATTTATTTTTCAGGATCGCAGGAATTTCGTGCGACCTCCTCCCGCTGGCGTGGACTTTGAATTCGACTTTGAATCTTTCTATCCTGTCGCTCAGGCAATATTAGCTGTTGATCCCGAACTTGAAAAAATGAGATTTGAACTTGTCCCCAAAGTGTAAGCATACTTTAAGGAATAATTATAACTTGCCCGTCAAGCCAGTTTCTTTTTCAGTTCTTTAAAAAAACTCACAAGAAGTTTGACTTATTTTGATACCTCATAACGTACAAATGAAAATTAAACTATCATAAGGCTTCTTTTCTATCCAGGACTGCAGAGAGAATTTTATTTCTGTCTAAGGGTCCTCGGTGTAGCTTTTCCGTTTCATTTATAACTCTCATAGAGGTAAAAAAAAAAAAAAAAAAAAAAAAAAAAAAAAAAAAAGCGCTTTTCTCAAATGTGGAAAAATTATCCAGTGCTCAGTGGATTCCAGTTTATTTGGAAATTTTTTTTATGAAAATCCCATTCTTTTCTCCTCTGAAAAAGGTAACCAAGAAAAGGTGAGAGATTTCAATTCTTCATTCTTCCTCCTTCTCCAATCTCTTCTTGCCTTGTATAATCTTGCATTTTAGCTAAGGCTTAGCAGCAATCAACTCTAGAGGAAGTTATGATAACTCCTGTGAGAATGTTAGTGTCAAAAATTAGCTTTTTCATCTTGTTTCAATATGGGGCTAGTTTTCATTTTCCAAAATCTCCAAAAAAGTGAGGAAACTTCTTAGCTCATGGTTCTGGTGTCTTTTAAGTTCATGTATATTCTCTCATCATTTAGAAAACTTCCTGCCCCAGAAAATCTGACCATTTTCATAGATCATCACTATTGATCTTACAGAAACTACACATAAGACATGATTATAATTGATCCTGTTATTTAGTTCAATTAAAAAGTTTACGTCATGAAATATGTTGAGTTCTTAGTCAATAAAAAATCCTATGATAAGTCAGTAAAAAAAACTTTGTCTGATCACTAAATTTGAATTTAGTTTAAAGGAGTTACCAAAAAAAAACAACTATAGACTTCTTTGGTCTTGACCCCTTAATACTGAAGGGTTTTTGGTTTTTGTTTTCACTGGTATAAATCCCTCCAGATCTATTTCATCATAGTCTTGTGTTGCTTTTTCTCTTTTTATGTATCAATCATTAATTATTTGTCTTTTTTCTGTTTTGTTCCAACAGAATAAATGAGGAAAACTTCTGGCGTAACTATTTTTACCGTGTGAGTTTAATTTGCCAAGCAAATGAACTGTCATCTATGGCTCAAGAAGGCCAACAAAATGCTGCCAACGCCTCTCAAGATGCGGACGAACCCAATGGTAAATTATCTTAGTTTTTTCATTTCAACGACACCAAATGCAATCTCTCTTTTCTTCAGAATACAGTGCCCTAGTTCCATTGTAGCAGTAACTTAAAGTGAAAAAACCAAAAATCAATAAAAGAGCCTTAGATTACTATGATTACATACCCTTCTAATGATGGAGGAACTTCAGTATCCTACAAAGTCGTAATTTATTTTCTAATTTTTCCTTTTACACAGGTATCCGATACTAAACTAATCAGTATGAATTAGAAGCTCCATTCTATTCGCTGCAAACTTTTCAGCAAAGAATTTCTGTATAAGCCACATTTTGATCTGAAATCCCAGCGCAAATATTCGTTGCATGATTTGCATGAGCCGTGTATTTATTTTTTTGTCTCAATGTAAGAATGAGTGTATCCAAGTGTCTTGGTATCAGTTGGCCAAAGCTAGCTTTTCCCCAGGACTAGGATCACAATGAATTCATCAATTTTCAAGCACATCCATAAGTCAGTGAGAACCAACATTTTCATTGAGATTTTTTATTCATTCATTTCTATAATGGTAAATTCAATTTTGAAGGAATAAAATTTTCACTCCTGGAATGATCTTTTTCTCCTTCCCATGTCCTACTCAAGTGCAACCGCACATTAAATTTTAAAGAAAAGAAATTATTAAAAAAAGGAGGTAAATTTACCATATAATTGCTATAGAATAGTTGACCCATCGTCAGTAAAGAGTTAGGGTACAAAAGTTACTCCAAGAAAAGTTATTGTTAAAAGCGCAGAGTGACCTAAGCACATTCTAATTTTATCGTACTGCCCCATCTTCGTCCTTGCTAGCTTTTTATGAATGTAAAAATTAGTTAAACATGCTGCCAACCGACCCAATTGGTGTCAACTTATAATATGCCCTCTCCTTTCTCCTTCTTGCATAACCTTTTACCCTGATTCTTATAAATCCCTTTGATTTAACCGATATTGCTCAAAAATATTAAATACCAAAAGTAGCAAGTTGCTGAACTACTAAAATTATCGATTAGCATGTTGTTCAGCTTTGTATTTAAAAAATGCAAACTGACCAAATTTTTTTGCTGTCAACATTGGATAATTTTGAATGCTAGTGTATCAATATGTATGCTCCTTGCCTACTTAAAATAATTCGTTGTTACTGCTTTTATTTTACTTTATCAGAATTTATTTTTGTATTTGCATGCAGGCTCTCTTAAAATGATTACCTTCTGCCAGTTTTACGCTTCTCTCTTCATCTAATTTTTTGCTGTTACTTGTATCAGTATACGTAGATTACTCAACGTCAAAAAGGTCTCAGCAGATAGTAAACGACTCTTCAACTGAGTTTGTTTCGGATTCTCTCGCAGCGTCTAGTCAAGACTTGGAGGAAGTTAGAGAAAATATGAGGAAACTGGGAATTGACACAACTTCTGCTAATGGTAAGACTGGTGACCGACCATCATCTCATGTTCTTTTTTTTACATTTTTAAGAATCAGTGCTCATACATTTCATCAATACATTTTTTTGTTTTTCGTTTGGTCTCTCCCCTGTTAATTTCTTTAGATCCATATTTTCCCTACCCCTCTCATTTGCTTTGAAGCTGCTTCATATCGAATTGAAACCATGCAGATCATATCTGTAATATTTTGCAACAAATATAACGTTGCAATAAAGTAAGTTTCAAACTCTCTTCAAAGCTTGCGTAATAAGCCTCCATTTTCAAACATCTTTTGCGAGCTTGGAGCAGGGTTTTTAATTGAGCCATCGTTTTTCTTGCAAAATTTTACAGAGAATAATTAATTCAAAAATCCAAGGACCTTGTAGAACATTAATGTTTCAAAATTGTCTGTATAGACGGAACATTGTTTTCAAACCTTGGAACACGACTGAATATTTCATCCTAACTAATTAATCATGAATCAATATTTTTTAAACATCAGCCACACCATTCTTTCATTCAAAGCATCTTCTCATCATCTGGACTTTAGGTGAACATACTTTTTTTGGACAATAGCAACCATCATAATCTCATGGTAAGTCAAGATATGTGGTCAATTTTATTGTGAAATAGTACAGTAATGCACATTGCATCTATATAGTATTACATGCTAGTGCCACCTCACTATCCTTTTTTTTTTTTTTTTAATAGACTTTTTTAGTTATAAGACAAGAGGTCATTTTTAAAATCGTTACATCGTTTCATGTTCTGCCAGTTATGTTTTATATATCCTTCTCTCTTCATCCCTTTAATGTGCGTTACTTTTTTGTTATCCTTAAATAGGACCAAACATGTTAAGGAAAGCAAGGTAAAAGATCCTTTGCATCCAATCACAGTTAGCTTTTAAAAATTCCTGTACAGTAAAAATGATTCAGTGACATTGTAAATATGTCCCGCATCTTTGTTGCATTCTCTACTCTCTCGGTTTGTAAGAACAAACTCGTTTTGATAAACGGTGTATCATACAAGGATCATCAAGGATCGGTTTACATCAAGGATTAAGAGGGTGTATGATACACCCACTTGGCGTGGACGTCCTGTGAAAGGTTGGCGACAAGGGGTGGAGGAGGAGATCAGAAGGTGCCAATTGCCTGATGATCTCTGGGAGGATAGGGGGCAATGGCGATTGGGCGTCGCAGAGCGCGAGGCGGCGCTATAAAAGCGACTTTATGTATGTATGATACACCCACTTAATCTTTGTGGTCTCCGAGAGTCCGTTTATTTTTCAAATTCCTATAACTTTGGGCAAGATACATCAACTAAAATGCTTTGTTCCGTTGCAATCCTAAAAATAAAATTATCAACTTCTCAATCCATTAAAAGTAGTCAAAAGGGCAGAAAAGTAGAAGGTAGTGTTAGTGCCATTTCGTATTCCTCAATAATAAGCTGTTGAGAGAAGTGGAATTGTTAATCAAATGAGTCGTTTTAAAATTTGTATTTCTCTCTTTCCTTTTTAACTGTGCGTCAAGGAAGGAGAGTTTTAAAAAATTGACTCTCCTCCAGCATTCTGAAACAATTGTGTTGGAGGTGTGTGAGAGATTTTCATGAGGTGAAAAAGGAAATGCATGCAAAAATGTTGTACCAACTGAAACCACTACTGTTTAGAGTGTTTGGCTTTGCTCTAAACTGTTTGTTTTCCCCCTTGATTGGAATGTCTGTTACATCCCTTTAATTTCTGGTTTCAACATGCCAGCGAATTTTTCTCTTTCTCTTTTTCATCTATTTTTTAAGAAAAACTGCAGCACCCCAATGTATATTTTAACTGAATCTATCTTCCAGTTACTTTTTCAAGAAAAAGGTATGAATGAGTCAGTTTTGCTGGATTTGAATGCATTTGAAAATGTGTGGAAATAGTAAATCTTCATACGAAACTTTAATGCTTAAATAATATGTATCCAAGAACAATATCAAAAAAAGGTAGATTTTAAGGGGGCTCAAAACATCCATTGCATTGCACTCTGTAGTTTGGTTGTGACCATCGTCATTTGAAATGGGCATACAGTTCAAATGTTTTGAACATGCACAGTATAATGATCCAAGTATTGTTCCCCAATGCTAAGTCATTTTCAAGAGTTTCAATATGTGAATTGGCTTTAAAGTGAGGGAAATATCTATTCACAAGTCTGTCCTTCCCTGAACTAAACTGACTCATTTTCAGCAAATTTGACTCAACAATTTTCGATGTAATGTTCGTGCAAGTTTTGAAGTATTGTACATTTTCCCTCAATAATTAAAATATTAATGGTGTAATGAAATTTTTTGATAGCCTTAGCATTTATGTCATTCACTTTTTCTGCAAGATAAATTAGTGGTATTCCTGCAATACTTCGGATCAAAATGTGGTCATTTTCCTCAGAAACTATCCATTAAGTCCCTTTCATTGATCGACAATTGTCAATTTTAAAGGCGCTTACTATTTTTACGTACACATTAGGCTCATTTTATCTTAAAAGAGCTAGTTGTGAATTTGGCAATCAATTTCTATGTTACTGCAGTTTCCGCTAGGTGTCAATCATATTTACTTTCCAAAACAATCTAAATTTTGAAAGGGTTGATGCTAAGTGCTGTTCATGTGAACCTGAGTGTGCAGAGGCAATCAGGTATTTTCTCCAGGTTGGTTCATTGCAACCATCAACCAAATAGTAATAAATAATCTTATTTTTTCTAAATTTAAATCAAATCCTCAGTCACTAAACATAGTAGCCCAGGACATATTCTCGCCTATCATCAGGTGAATAAAAATAAACCTTGCTCTGTTGATTTGCCCCATTTTAAGTTTCATAATGTCTTCACATATCTCTCCTAACGGAGGAAGAAGTGACATTTTTTCAAAAAAAATTTATTGGGTTTATTTTTTTATTTAATTCAAGACCAGTTTGATGAAATTGTATGATCATTACTCTTGCCTTTGAATGATCTGAAGTTATAGAAAGAGAGGTAAAAAGAAAAAAAAAGCTTATCACTGCTTGCTTATGCAGAATGAAAGAAAACGAATTAACAACAATTTTAATTACTGCCAACTCGCAGTAATACGGAGTTAAAGAGGCCCAGCAATGAATTTGAATCAATTAAGTCCTCAAAAATGCATGATTTTTGTTTTAAAGAGGTAGCAACTAGAATGATCCAAATTAAAAAGAGTGTGCAAAATGAACTTATCTCTTTACAGATTTTGTATATTTTATTCAAGCGATGATAAAACAACCTAAGCAGCCAGCAACTTTACATTACCTATGTACTTATCAGGAGTAACGATAATTAGCAGAACGCCAATTCAGTGCAAATATGTAGTTGATGCCATGCTTCAAATTTAAAAAAGCGATTGATTTTTCTTCAAAACATAGAGGATTAGTTTCAAAATGCAAAGGTTTTTCTTCTCATCAATGAAGTGTCAAAATTTTCCAGGTCGAAATTATCTTGAGTTGACTGTAAAAGCATTTTGAACTCAATGATTGAGTTTTTTAGCAATTGTGTGTAAAAAGTTCAGCTTAAAGCTTGAACTCAGGATTCTCCCTCTTTTCTTAGGAGAGACCTCTTAATTATGAAATCTCACATCCTGGAAACTGCATAAGAATATTTTCTGGTTAACGTTTAATCAGTAGCCTGAGTTTTGGCATTCATTTACTATTGTTTTTTTTACCTTGTGACTGAGTAATATTTTATTTGTTGTATTTTATTTTTATATGTTTTTTTTTTTCTTTTTTTTTCTTGCAAGCAGCTTAAAGCATTATCCTAAAAAGACTTAATTCCACCCTTATTCCTTAGTTTACCCTTTATTTTTATTATTTGTTCTGTTTCCTTGATTTCAAGAAATGTATTGATGAAATTATTTAGTAAATGTTACATTAATTCATGATCCACAACACCTTTTGAATTACATTCCTGCTCTTGGGAATCATGTTCATTTCTTCTTCTCTTGACTGAATTAAACTAAACAGAACTGCCATGCAGTCTACATGATTCTGTAGCCTCGCTGAAAAATAAAATAATAAAATTAAATAAATCCAGAATCCATCTGAAGACATGAAATGATTTTTTGTGATCTCTTTTTTAATCTCATTCTTTGGACAGAACACAATTTTGCGTCAAATTCTGAGATGACGTCTGTCTCTTGTCCAAAATAATTATTTTCAAAATCAGCAGAAGCTGTACTTTTCCAAAAGAAACTGCATGATGTCTGTTTCTTTTTTAAAGAATGACTTTCAAAATCAGTTGGAGTCTTACTTTTCAAAATACTCGCTCAGCCCTTTTGTGGATTGATCATTGTTCAGAATATTGAAATTTTTTATCGCGTCAGTCTATAATTTATCATTTACTGTATTGATATACTGATGGCACAGGAGCTTTTGTCAGAATCTAATATTGATCTCTTGATCAGTAATTTTTAAATAAAGCTTCTCATTCGTACAGTTTAGAATCACTCATCATTACACTGATCTTGACAAAAAAAAAAATAGTTCATCTACCTGTCGTTTTTCTATGGCTGTGTGGTAATTTTATACATGCAATACTGCTTAAGGATGGAAGATTGTCACATGCATCAATATGTGTAGAAATTTTTCTCATCAGAGCGATTTTGCAACATTCTAAATTTAAATCTAGTCTGTTTGTCTAACGTTGTCAGTTCTCCATAAATTATTTTTAAAATTCTTTGACTGAAGATGGCAATAAAGATTATTTCTGATGTCTACACACACATTTTAATTAAACTTAATTTTCTAAGTCTGAGACTTGCACTCCAGTAAAAGGATATTTTCTGTGTTTGAAGACGATTGAAAACTGTTCTTACGTAACCAAAAATCCTGACTCCAGCCTCTTTCAGAGTAACAGGAGTTGATATCATGAATATTTTTATCGAACCCTGTAGAAAAATGTTACATCTCAGCTGACTGCTGTTTGTTTGCCACCACTTAAAATTTCGTACATACTTACCACTGCATGCATATAAAAATGCATTATTTTATATTTGTCCTATTTTTGGGTGCAATTATCAAGTCAATCCCCAATCGTCTTAGAACTCACCTGATGAGATATATGGAGTTTATAAAAATGAAAAATAATATGCCAAGTTAATTTAACGACTGATACTTTACAGAACTATCTCAGTAACGACTAATGCAACTTGTTCTAATTTGCACCCGAAAGTTGAGCTCATCCTTCCATACTGAACTTGATTTTATACTCATATACCAACATTAAATTTTAGATTCAATCCCTAATTTCATCGCAAGTCTTTGCAATAATGCGTGCATTGAAATTATTTTATTTTTAATTGCTCTAACGTTTCTAACAAGTGGAAATTCCTTTAATTTTCAAAAGAAGGTGTCCTTTCACCTTTGTCACGTCATTTCATCAATTCAATTATGATTTCTAGATTGGTAGTTGTACATTTATGTTCCACTTTTACAGTGGAATTGTGTTATTATTTTTATTTTGTTCTATTTTCTTTTTTCTTTGTTTTTTTTCTCAACCTCCCTTCCTCTTTCTCCTTCCCTCATCACTTATAATTTTTCCCTTTTAACCCTCTCAATCCTTGGTCCTTAACATAAACAAACAGAAGAGGAATGGGAGAAGGAGCTTGAAGCCGAGTTGCAAGAATATGAAGTTGTGTCAGAACAGCAAAAACAGAACACTGCCATTCCATCCAAGTGGGAATCACAGATTGAAGACATGCTGGAATCTGAGTCCCGTGATTTAAAATAAGAGATGCACCGGATTCCTGTAAGTAAACCAGGTATCCTTGTTCCATTACACTATTATAAGAAAATTTAAGAAGGTCGGTGTGGCTTTCATGTGTTCCCATGCTTTTCAGAGGTAATAACCCTACTAGCAGCGCCTGTTTTTTGGCTTTTAAAGAAACATAAATAAATTCTATAAAACACGATTTAGGATGCCCCTTTTGTTCTGTTTTATGGAAAATTTCTGTGAAATTTATGTTAAAAAGAAGTTGTAAAAAAGAAGATTTGGGTCTCTATTCTCTACCGAGGGATGCACAAAATGCTTGAGCGTGGTAGCCTGTGTTGTTCGAGGAAATCGGAGAGCAAATGAGGAAATTTATTAGGTATAATAGACTGAAAAAGCAAAGGACACTAGTTTTTTAAATTTTTCCCCTGTAGCATTTTCCCAACTTCCCTTGCAAAGTGGGAAAATTTTGAAGCTAAGATTGCGGCCAATCTTTGGTCTCTAGAACTTTCTGCACCTCTGCTCTTACCTTCAGAAAGCAAAAGTTAGCCATCCCAGATGTGTTAGCAAATTGCAAATGTCCTCACAAGCTCACTACCAAAAATGATTTAAGGAACACCTTTACTGTACTCAAATGTAATATAATGGCTACCATGGTTTGATTTTGTTTTCAGATGGAAGGAGTAAAAAGTGTTCCTCTTTGGGAAATAGCACAGGGAATAACGAAAGTCTCAATCTAAAAGGTACCATGCTGCAACAATAAAATCTCACCGTCTACTTACTTATTACAAATATCATCATTTTCTATTTGTTTAATTACGTGAGGATCACCCCGGTGAGTTAATTTAGTAATTAAAGAAAAATATTCTAATGAACTTTTATAATATATTTATGTTTTCTATTTTATTTGTTGTTATTGTTGTGAAAACAATTTATTTTGTTTTAAGTGAGTCCTAAGTACACACACTGTTAAAGAGAAGGTTTAAGGTAGGTACTTACCTCTTCAGCTGTAATACCTTTCAATATTATTTGTCTCATGCAGTCATATCTCAAAATATCCTTCTCACTGTAAAATAATTAGCTAGAACTTGTGATTAGAGTGTCATTTTACAAAGAGGCAGTCAGCATACTTTTTAAAATTTATAAAACCCCTAAATATTTACTCTCTCATTCTGAAATGAAAAAGCATTTGAAACTTGATTGCTCTGAAGCCACCACTTATGTAATTTACCTATCAAAACCTTGTAGTCAGTTAAATCATTGAATTTATTTCTCACCTCAGAAACTTCCTATTAACTCTCAAGTCAAATGATTTTTGCTGTTCAATCTTGGCTTTTGACCTCCTGTAAATAAAGTAAAGTAAGTTGGTAGAGTAGGTACCTACATTATAATATTAAACTCGATTATCATATTAAATTGTGTACTTACATTATGCATTGCATGGAGTGTCTCAAAATTATACCCTGAAGTGTGTAATTTTGGAAGTAATGGAAGAATAAATATCACTCATATTGAAGCATTCATAAGCATATTACTGATGCTTTTCATGCATGATCACAGCAGGGATCGAATATTTTTCTCAATTGTCTGTTAATTCCTCCGTGAATACTGTCAAATGGGGTTACCTGGGAAATTAGTTTATTTGGAACAAAAATGGGAATTTGGGCGTCGGTGGCCATGGTAGCATTGTAATTTTAGATTGTTCCTCAGCGTCGTAATCTCTATCCACATTGTTTTGGTATGAGATTTAGGTATTATGCAGAGTCTTGAAAAGGAAACAAAAGCATTTGTCTCTTCATCTTTTTTCTCAAAATCGCTTGACTCTCATCAGTATCTTAAGTTACCGTGTAAGTCCTTATTCACCCCTATGTTCGGGGTCATTGAAATAACCAAAAGTTGAACACAAGAAAACATTAGAAGAACTTGCCAAAAAATTTTGTGGCAGAAAATTTTGGGTTCATTTTGAAGAAAAATCGTTGTGGTAAAATCTTCCCAAATAACTCTGTTTGATAATACATACCCACTGTATCTGATTACTTACTTGATAAGTTATCCCTGTCATGAACGGCACATTCCAATCTTTCGCTGATTGAAAAGTTTATCGTGATTGATATTTTAGTGTCACAAGAATCATTCTATCCTTACAGCCTAAGTAGCAGAGATTGCGATAAATAGCGATATTATCGGTGGAAATTTATCGCAATATTATCATTTATGGCGATTAAATCGCTATGCATCGCAATTTTTTGTTCGATAAGATTGCGATCGATTTCGTCGATAAAATCGAGATTAAATCACCGTATATCGCGATTTTTGTTTCAATAATATCGCGATAAATTGCCGGGCGATAAAATCGCGATTATATTGCAACAAGATTGAGGATAATTGCTCAGATGTTGATGATCCTAGCAATATATTGCGATTTTTCGGTTGAAAAATGCTACTTGGGAGAGGTAAAGAGAATTATATGTCTGCAAGTGTCTTGGGACGTTACTTTTTTCGTCTCTGCTCCATTTTAAGCTAACAATCATGGTTAAGTACCTCGAGTTAGGTTTCATCAAAATTAGTCCATCTCCAGACCCATATTCCAAATTTGTCGATCAATAATTTGTAATACCTTTCAGACATTCATTGACTCTTTATTTTTCTCTGCTCAATAGGTCAGTAGACATAGCAAGTCGATTTCATTAGATGAATAATACTTCCATGAGTAATATCATTTCACAAGTAGTCTGAGTTTTTTTACACCATGCTTGTTCCAAGTAATTCAACAATTAAGAAAAAATGTCTAATTTGCTGCGGTACTCACTCACACTGAGAATATTCTCTGCTAAATCGCTCATGGAGCACAGAAATTTTAGGATTAGATAAAACACTTTATCCGTATCGAAAAAAATAATTTAGTTTCCAATTCATCAGGGCAAAACTCTTCTCTTGTATCATTAATTCACAAAACGAGAAAATACATTTTTGCCATTCATGAAACTCTCTCTTGGGGAACAGTGCTTCTTTCCTCGAGTTACCATGTGAGTCCTTATTCACCCCTATGTTCGTGGTCATTGAAATAACCAAAAGTTGAACACAAGAAAACACTAGAAGAACTTGCCAAAAAAATTTGTGGCAGAAAATTTTGGGTTCATTTTGAAGAAAAATCGTTGTGGTAAAATCTTCACAAGATATGTTCACAGACCTATTGGGAGAAATTATCTACATGAAGTAGGATGCCCTTAGCACTCTTAATTAAAAAACTCTAATTACTTCTGATTTTTTAATCTGAACAACCTTGGTTTGAATTTTTTGAAATTTTTCATTTGCTCCTTTCAGTTGTATGTTCAGAGCCTGTTCTGAAGGAAAATAAATGAAAATTGAAAAGTACCACTGTGGTAGTATCACCTGCTGCAATAAGCTGTCGGTCAATATTTGGAATTGTATTTATTTTTTTGTAATTTATACAAATACAAATATAGTTTTATAAAACTGTACTTGTTTTGATGATCGTATCAAACTTTTATGATATTAAGCATTAAATGATATCGTATGTATGTTTTCCATCAGCATTTACCTGATGTCATGTAATTAATTTTATATTTTATTTAAGAGCGTAGTTTTAGATTTAATCATGTGAAATCTCTTATGTTTTATGCAAATGTTACAATATTAATAATAATCGCTAGTTCTCATAATGCTGTGTACTGAGGTGAGAAAATAAATCATCCCATTTGTTCCTTTTATGTAAATGTTGAAAAATAAAGTTGTGTATTTTTAAAGGTGTTTTCACTTTTTCTTTAGACCAGCTTTTAAGAGTAGGTGGTTGGGAAGAAATATGAATAGAAGCAAAAAATTCATGACCCTTGAAATAGATGGCAAAAATTTTATTGAACTTGTTTCGCAAACTGTTTGACAAGAGGAATTGATAACAAAATTGAAATAGAAAAAACACATATCTGGTGAGCAAAAGATTATGATGCACAAGAAACATGAATATAATGCTTCAAAAATAAATTTCAAGGCAGACTAAGGGTAAATGGGTGCTGTCACTAGAGGAAAGAAAGAGAGAGAGCTCGGTGCTTATGTTGAAAGAATCGTGACTTCAGCAATGCAATGATCAATTCCTGAGACTTGGGTGAATCTAAAAAAATGGAACCCTTTTACTTTTTCTATAAAAAATAGAGGCTATAAATAGGCACACGTAGGAGCTAAAGGGCACCCTTGGTTCACCTTAAGCTTTTGTTTTGCCTCATTAAAATCATAAAAACAGAGAATTTCTATAGGTTGAATCTATCCTTGTCTTGTGATAATAACAGTAATTCAAGATACTGAGAGTGGTTAGCATCTTCAGAAATTGAAACAGCTAGTGTTAGAAGTTGAAAAGTATAAGAAAATTAACATATCAGATCTGATCGACAGCAATTTATCTACGAAGCTTTATTATTTGTAGAGAAGGTTGGATGACTCTGAAAAAATAATGTAAAGTGAAAACATAAGTGTAAGCACCCATTTCCCCTGAGTTACCCTGAAAAAACTAATTGAAAATGAATTACTTATTGCACAATAAAAAAAATTAAATTGAAAAAGGTTACTGAGATTACAATCAGACATTCCCATTCATACATATACTTTGACAATAGGAAAATGGAAATAAAGTTGAGAGACATCACAGCGTAGTTAGTCAGCAAAATTTCTCCACAATCTGGCATTGAAAATATTTTTCATCCATTTTTATCTTTCACTCTGATAGTACCCCATGACAGAAGTTCATCAATCCTTCAGAATGGAAACAAGTTAGTTTGAAATTGTTAACAACAGAATTTACCATTAAAGAACCTTTATTTAGTAACCTATATGATGAAGACATCAAAGCGAATATTTAAACATAATCAGGGTGCCATTCTTGTTAGAAATTCGTTAATTTTCTTGAAAGAAGCAAAGAAACGTAGGCAATAGCTATAAAAAAATATTATAACTGAATAGAATAAAATGAGTATAATCTTTCTGAGACGTGAAAGTTTGAGCTGAATGCTAAATTCTGGCCATACTTAATAATAAGCATGTTCACTGCTCGGCCTTAACTTTCAGAAATATTAACTTATTTCTATTTACAAACAAAAAACACTACAAAGTGAGGTTACATAAATAGAAATAATTTACACAGAAAAAATGACCGAAATTCATTTGACTAGTTTTTATGCTGATACTCAATTAAGATTGAAAATTACTTCGATCAAATGTTACATAATTCAGTGCTGTTCTACTGAAAGGATAAAGCACAATAATGAAATTTAGTGAGCAATAATTTAAAAAAAAATAAGACATATTTGAAGTTATTTATAGGTGGCAAGCACTGCAGTCTGCAATACATACCACAGATTTTCACGCTTCAACATAGTTATTTTTTGAGTTGTAACTTCAAGGAGTACATTATTTACACTGTGTGTATGCGTTAAACCCTTATTCATTAACCACAGTTAAATCATTTCAATGCAAACCGCACATATCTTGTTCTTTCTTTTCATAGTGACGCAAGATAGTGAGAAAAATTACATGGTTGAAATTCCGATGTTTCAAAAGGGATAAGGCAACTCGAGATAACAATGAAACTTGATTACATAAATTTATAATTAAAGGAAGGGCACTTGTCATTTGGTCTAAGATTTTTGTCCATTGAAAAACTAGAAGTATCAATGGAATTTGCCTGGATCTGCTAAAATTAAAGAGAACTTAACAAGGAGCTTCTCAAACCACATAAAAAAATTAAGTTACATGCATAGATGTGGGGAGAGAAATTATTCCTGACTTCAAAATAGAGAAAAAAGGCAAATGAATGTTATCATTCAGGCATCTTCTATGGGCTGCCGTATGGGTAAAATATTTTTAAAATATTTACATGGGGGGAACATTAAAATATTTTAAAAATATTTTTGTGCTATCTGGGAATGCAGATGGGAGAGTCAAAACCCTCAGTTTCCACTGCTGCCAAAAACTTCGTCAAATATAAGATTATTTTAACTAGAAGAACGCATTTCACATGCTATTATCAATGAAGAAATAAGTAGAGAGTACGGTCGAGTTTTGGTGTACTTTCTACCTACTTTTTCATAGAATATTTTACTCAATTAAAAGTAATTTTGGGACCTTTTTGAGACTCATCAGAGAAAGTTTAAATCAAATTTTTGGCAGTACTGCTGTCCACATAAGTTTTGATGACTAAACTCTAAAAACAAGTATTTCAATTACAGCAATCTAAAATTTGTTATTTTCTTTTATTTCTGAAGGGGAATATGTGAGGTAATTCTTTTTGTTGACATTTTTAAGAAATACCGTTCAAAGAGAAAGAAAATTCACAAAAATTTCAAAGAAATGTAGTCAATTAGTAGTTTAGTGTTGAAAAAAAAAAAAAAAAACTTGACAGGAAACCTCAAAATTGTTTTTAGAATATTTAGTCATCGATATTTACAATCTCATCATTGGAAACATGGGTGATATGCAAAACTAAAAAAATTAAAAGTCAGTGATATTTGCACAACTGTGTTGTATCTCATTAAAAAGACATGATGATCGTAAATTTGACATTTTTATACTTCTGAGCTGTTTGTTGCTTAGAAAATAAGAAAAGTTTACTCAAAGAAAGAAAAAAAAAAAAAACCTTTCTTGGAATAAAATGGACAATAGTGAGTCATGAACAGCAAGCCAGGATGATGATATTGCACTTTTGAGCAGTCTTAGAGCATATTTCGTAGATCAGAACTTGCCAAAAAAAAAACCTAAAATCAATGACCTTCGGGATAAAAGGAATTGCACGTCAGTGCACAGAAATTTTCTAAGCGCAAGATCCTGAGTAAATATGCAAGTCTAGGGTAAAAAACAAAAGATGCTCTTCTTTGTGCTAATGTTAAGTGTCCCCCCCCCCCTNTCCACCTGAGACTATCAGTGTCTTTTTTTTTTTTGGAAATAACAAGAAAGTCATTGAATATTCAAATAACTGAGCTTCTTTTACCACATAATAAAGGGCCGAAAAAATACCTACATATTTTTGTTCTAGGTAGATTTAGGGTTGAGCCTCCTTCATTTTTCGCTTATTGTTAACCACCAAGTAGGTATCGCAGCATAGCAGATCTAAATTAACGTAACAGGTATTCATTTGTTCATAATCTACAGTAAAGTCCAAAAGTCATTGAAACTTGAGTTACAACTGGTCAGCCTGTAGTTATCTGACAGAAATTATTTTCCTATTAAGCATCGTGTTTGATTCAGATTAGACCTGTTTATAATTTTGGTGCTACCTTCCTGTAAAATAAAAGCCAATTTGAAACAAAGTTATATGATCGGTGGAAAGGGTATTCTAAAAATTGAGACCTGACATTATAGACGCCAAAATGAGAGAAAACTCTCCATGTAGAAAAATGGGCTAGGCCTATGTAGAGACACCTGCAGTTAAATGTGCAAGAAGCTAATATCAAAATAAAGTCCCGGGAGGACTATTGAAAATTATATTTTTGCAAATGTTTTTCATGTCATTGTGCAAGACATTTTGCCATGATTGTCCACACAAGTTCTTAAAGATAACCAATAGATGCCATCGTACGAAAGAGATCTTGTCTGGCAACATATTGTCTTGATGGAAAGTTTTTTTTCTTTCTTGGATGATAGTTCAGATGAGAGGGGTTTCATTCCCAACAAAACTGGCAACAATTGCAGAGCATAGACAATATAAAATAGAATTTCCAAATCTTATTCTAATAGTAATCCATTGATATATGTACAATAAACTTTGGTTCATATGATTTAGTTACACTGCAGAACACTCAAATAATAAAAGTTTGTTGACTAAATATTCAAAAAAAAAAAATGAATAATGAACATCACCATTTCTGACATAAGACATTTGACACATACGTACCATAAAATCGGGACGCAATTAATAACCGGAGATACTTCTTATAAAGAATAGCTAGGTAATTATGTAAAATTAGTGATGTACATGTAAATTACAGAACAGTAATCAACATAACTACTTACACTGGAATCCAGTCTTAGCACCGAGCACTTTAAGCTCAAGTAATTCTCATTGCTTTACACATGAACTCTATTATGAGTCTTATGAATATTATATACACTAAAGTCACAATGATCATAAATAATTAAACTACTTAAATATTTTTCATAATTATTTGCATCTAGTCCTCAAGGGTTCTCTTGTGTCTGTTATGTAATTTCACTCTATCTAGTATTTCTTATACATCACCAAAAAGCAGATCTGTGACTGAGCCCTGGGCAGCACATAAAAAAGAGCTATGTAAAAAAAATGTTGGATGCAAAACAGCACAAGAATCTGTGTAGCACACCAACAAATATGGCAGACATGTAATTTGTGGCAACTTCCAACTTTGTATTTTGAGAGAATAATTCTGATTTGAATTTCTGTGGTAACTCTTTTGCTACTGATTCCTGCATGTGAATTATGCTACCTACCTGGAAATTCTGAAAGCTCATAATTAAAGCTGAGTCAAAAATTTCAGGAGTACACATTCGATAATGCAATATCGAAAATTTTAGAGGATGGATTGATGTTCCGTCAAATAATTAAGATGTAGATAATCAGTGCAAAAAAATGACAACGTACTTACAAAAGTCATGAGATAAAGTAACAATAAGAGAGCCTAGATAGTTTTTAAAAAAATAAAAAAACAAATTAAAAGAAATAACTGCTTCTAAGAAGAATAAGGCCAAAAAATTTTATGTTGTGTAATTAAAAATAAATTTAAAATAGTGAGTCTGAGAGAAAGATCTAGAAATTACATCTCCTAAAACCTTAAATGCAAGAAACGAAAAATAGTCTCTAACCATGGTATCCTCCTCACCTTTCTGTCACCGATTCAATAATGTCCATTTGAAATTTTCGAAGATAAGAGCTTTTGTAAGATTCATGAGCTCACTGATATTTACTTCAGTCATTAAGGTTCTTTGGACTGCATTGCTGATACAACTCCATCCATGTTCAGATTCTTCTCAATTTTGATTCTCTACCCTACTGTAAGCAAAAAATGTTTAAAAATAAAACTCCCCCCATAAAATCATAGTGCATTTTCAATGTACCTGCTTGGTACTCATGTTAAACAACAACATTTTTAAGTGCATATTGGTCATGCATAATTATCATCATGGACAAGAAATATTCTGAGAAATATGTACTCCGAGTTCTACAGACTGCTAGGACATTTAACTTTTGACAAGGTACACTTACAGAATTATTTTCGGTGAAAGGTGAATAATTATACTTCACAGAAGATGAAACTATTCGTTCCTAAGTAATTTTCAAATTAATGTTCATTTACTTCGAATAAAATAAGGCATCTCATATACATGCTTGATTTTATCCTGAAATGAGAGATCTTTTTAACTTCAGATTCGACATTACTTTTTTAAAATTTTAACACTGATGTGCTGTCTAAGTGTCTACTTCGGACATAATGATAGACATTATTAAGTGGCTGAGATTATAGATGAAAAATTGGAACTATACCTAAGTGGCTAATACAAAAGTATGCGCTTTTCAACTGATTTCCTACAAATGGGACATTCAGACATTTTATCCCCACACATCTGGCAAGTTCCATGCCCACAAAGGAAAATCATATTTTTCAACCTGTCAAGACACACAGGGCACATGGTTTGCTCCTTAATATCTTGAAGCTGCTGCTGTAATTTTTCCAAATCATAAGTGGAAGTGTCTCGGCTCCCGTTGTTCATTAATTGACAAGAGTTGGTCGTCATTGGCTCAGGGGCACTTGCAATAGATTCGTGAACTGTATCAGGCTTGACTTCGGAGATTTTACCGATACCACCACAACATACAGAATATGGGATTATTTTTTCGATCTGAACACGACAGTCAACACACTTTTTCATCAATGGTGCGCAATTTTCACATGCTACAATGTGATTGCATGGTTTGAAGAGAACTGAACTTCTCTTGCAGGAGCAGACAACGCACTCTTCAATTTTTGTTCGGGCACTCACTTGCTGACGACAAATAAGACACTTTTTCACTCGTGGGGCACAGATAGAGCAGCAAGCTACATGGTTGCAAGGAGAAAATAGAGTATCTCTACGAAGGTCTGAACAAACCAAACACTCATCCATGGCAACACCTTCAGTGCTGTTGGGTCTTCGTGGTTCTACATGATCAACTTCTTTGTCTTTCTGACACTGTGTCAATGTTTTGAGGAGATTAGGATCTGGACACAAATCTAATGGCGTTTGCCCTTTTTTGTTTTTGATTGTTAAATTGGCACCATTGGCAGCAAGTAAACAAGCAATTGAGGCGGATGATTTTTTATCAGCACCTTGACTCCCTAAGCCAACAAGAAGTTTACCAACATCTTGAACGTCTTGGAGCTGTCTGATTTGTGAGAGTGTATGGTGCCTCAAAGCCTCATGCAAAGGGGTATCGCCATCTTTGTCTGCAATGTTCAAATTGGCCCCCTCTCTGACGAGTAAGCGAACAATTTGAGTGTGCTGTCTCTCGACAGCTAAATGCAGTGCTGTCTGAAGATTGACATTCTGCAAGTCTATATCAGCTTCATGATGCACTAGCAACTCTGCAACCTCAATGTGATTATTAAGAGCGGCTAGATGTAATGCTGAATAACCGTCATCCTTCTTTTCATCCACCACCCATCGTCTGGGTAATCTAGATAGTAATGTAGACATAGCACTTGGATTACCTCTTAAAGCAGCATGATGAAGAGCATTGAATCCGTCATTATTTGTTAGAGTGATGTCAGCATTGCGATCTAACAGCAATACTAACATATCATCACGTTTTTTAGAGATGGCATCATGTAATGGAGTGTCACCCTCAGAGTCTTGCAAACTGGGATGACAGCCACGATCTAACAGAATTCTGACAACACCAGCATGGCCTTTGTTGACAGCTATATGCAATGCTGTTTGACGCCGCTTGTTACGCGCATTTAAGTCCGCTCCGGCGTTGGCCAGCAATTCAACAACGCCTGGTTCATCACCAAATGCAGCATGGTGAACGGCACGATCACCATCTTTATCTTCCATTTCAACATCTGCATGGTGATTGAGTAAAATTTTTATAACATCTATGTGTCCATTTCTACTTGCAGCTTGCAGAGCTGTGTGCCCGCTGAAAATACCATTTACATCAGCCTCTGAGATCATGATTGCATCCTCGCACTTTTGGGCATCACCGTTGGCAGCAGCTTTAACAAGTTCTTCATTAACATCTCCAGGTACATGAGTCTCAAAAAGTTTCTTCAATAACGCACTCAGCTGCTCACCATTAGAACTATCGGGTAACGAGCCATCTGCTGGAGCCATTTTAGTCACTGCAAGAGGGTTATAGGTCCATGATGTACCACACACTTCCACCTTAAGATCATTATCATGATAAATCTGTTGTACTCTTCCAACTTTGCCAAGAGTAGGAGCCATTGCTTCAGCCCATTCACCATGACCTTTTTGTAGGATCTTAATCCTTTCTACGTCTGTGCAGATCTGTACCAAGTCTCCAACAGCAAATTGGCACTGCTGACTTTGCGGAGCTCTATTGCCAAACACACTACTTGTGCTAAGTGGTAGTTTGGTCAATACAGCTGGATTAAAAGTCCACCGATTTCCACTCGGATAAGAGACTACGATATCATGATCTTCATCAATACCAACAACTGAGCCCGTGCTCGACAGACACTCTCGCATGCTGTCAGTCCATCCTCCATGCCCATGTTGCAGGGATTGAACTATTTCAAATTCTAGATCTACATTGACTTGATCTCCTATTTGAAGACCATGCGGACCACAGATACCTGGTCCCTGCTCACCTAAGAGAGGTAGGTGCTCCTTGTAGACATTCATTCCTTTACCATCTTGGACAACTTTTAGGTCAGCCATACCTTCATACCCCACACGATATAAATTTTTAGATCCATTCTCCCAGACAACATAAGCAGCTGACCTTGGTGAAGCTGCAGACCAGTCCTGAACTTCATTGACTTTTCCTCTGCGACCTCCACCGCCATCCTGATCTTCCCACTGCCAATCAACACCCCGCACAACTTTGGCACCAGGAAAAATACCTCGCACAGTAATCTTCTTGCTTTTCCGCCTTGGCTCCATTAAAACTCTTTCACTGCCGGGGGTTGTCATTCTGTGAAATCTGTGCCGCAGGATATGTTTATCCCCGTGATAACAGGTTGAGCAAAGGTCGAAGTTTTCACAAGCTGCACATTTCCATCGTATGCCACAGATTGGTTGCTGATGGCAAGTGTCACACATAGTACCTTCATGTTTGACTCCAGTGGGAGCACTGTCTAAAATACGTAAATCATAAGCTCCGGCACAGCGGTAGTTGGCAGCGGTCCCATTGTCCCAAACAATTACAACTTCTTCCGGAGATTCAAAATTCCGAACAGTGCCTACATGACCTTCTCCGCCATCCTGTTTACCCCACTTCCAATGAGGTCCTCTGATCACTCGAGATCCGACTCCTTCCATTTTAAATCGGGTATTTCTGCTGGCTCCGTCCATGGCAGATAAGAGGTGTGAGAGCTAACCTCAAAACACGAACACCAGATTTGATAATAGATGAATCAAGGGTGATGATGAGCGCTATCGGAACGCTATAAGCTGAATCTTCAAAATCTTGCCTCTGCATTAAAAAGCGAATATACAGTACGGCATGAAATGAGTGAAACAAAGCGCTGCGATGAAAACTCATACCTAATTAGCATTTCACTGAGAGGTCGACAAAACACGGGATGACACGGGTCAGTCGTCTGCTTCGATGAACCATGAATTATAACGAAAACTTTTGACTTCAAGCGTGCGAGGAAATTAAGACCATGCATAGAAATATCACACTGAGTGGTAAAACTTGTTCAATTCACATTTTTAGAATTAGATTACTTAAATCACTTGTCAGCGGCTACAAACACGAACTTTTGTGGTAAGAACCAAGGTTGATTAAAAGGAGGTTGGTACAATCACCCAATTCGGCGCCATGTACCCGGCTGAATCTATCCGACTCGTATCCGATTGCGCATAGAACAATACACACGGGCCTCCCGCCTTCCGCGTAACAAGAGGGCACCGCTAAACTAGTTCTAGAAACCGCCGCGCCACCGCAGCGCTGCCTACCGTAAATTACATCCGCCAACACCCCTTCACATTCTCCCCCTCAACTATTCGATTCTTCTCCGCTATTTCTTCCTCTGAACCTTCACCCTCACTATTTTCTACGAGCGTTACGTCAATCACCAAACGCTTAAAACCCAAGGAACGCCTCTTCCTACGCGAAAAGTCCCCATCAGATACGCTCTTCGTTCGATGAGTTTACTCCGGATCATCATTCAAGAGTCCATAAAAAAAATTTGACGCCTACAATTTTGATGAGACATTTTCCAGGGACTAACTGCATCCCTACGTATCGAACAATGTCAAAACCGTCGTGTCGAAAACAGGCCCGCCACATCCCATCTCGGGCCCTGGTACCAATTTTCTGGCCCGGGCCCCTAGCACAAGGGGGGGGGTGGTCCGGGGGGCCTCCCCCGGGAAATTTTTGAAATTTTAAATCTATTTGGACGCATTATGAAGCTCTTATGATGGAGATTTTCCATCAATTTCTGCAGAATAATTACGCCTTTTTGTTTACTTTCAGCAACAAAAACTTTCGAATTGTTGCATTCAAAACATCTATAATTTTTTTTTTGAGGGGGCAGATGATAATTTTCAATTCTATGGGGAGCCGGGCCACCCTGGACTCCCCTTTCGTACGTCTATGGCAAGGGAGTTAAGCCATTGAAGTCGAGGATGCCCAGAAAGGAGCCTCTTAGCATCCGACTACGGAAGAAAATGAAACACAGTTACTAAAAATATCATTCTACATATACTCAAAATCTTGAAAATCTCTAAAAAAGTAAGAAAAATTTTATAGTGCCCTGGCGTGTTTTTGAAACTTTATTCACCTATTGCGGAATTTGTAGGGTAATTTTTTCACTTTTCCCTACGAGACAAGGGTTACACATGAATTCGTAGTGGTTTGTCACCTGCGTCATGGGCCCCTCCAGGGCCCGGGCCCCGGTACCAAGGACCCAGTATCCCCCCC